GAATTACCAAGAACATTGTGGAATTACCTTGACTTTGTTTTCCTTGCTGGATTACTTTTGACTTTGGTCTTCCTTGCTGGATTACATCAAGTTCAAGGACATTTGAAGGCGTAAGTTCACGGTTGGAATTCATCCCCATGGACAGGTGATGATTTCCAAAGGGGGGACTGTAGTGAACTTAACCTGATGTCAAGACTAAGCCTAAGGTCAAAACCCTTTACCTTAAGAACCTTGTGGGACAGGAACTGTCATTTCATTGATTTGAATCCAGAAATACAGGTTCACCCATCCTGAGACTCTCTTTCTTGACAATCAAGTGGAAGAACACTCTCTTTTTATTATCATTACTATTTTACAAATGTTGATAATCAAAGTGTCTTAGTTCAAACCATTTTAGATGTTGCAGTGAACTAATCGATTTTATTAACTGAAACAGTGTAATGATTTTTAATTCTCATGCAAAGTTAGAATTCATTTTAAAGCTGTTACAGAGTAATTATGCATTTTCTGATTTCTGTCTTTGAATGAGCAAGTGTGCGTTTTCCAGGGTCAGGAATCGAAGCAGACATGTGTTGGAACAACTGCCTTGTTTTTACATCCTCTCAGACGTCAACAGGGGGGTTTTGGCACCTGTTTCTAAAACTCGCCAAAACAAAACACTCTCTGTCTGTGAGAACAGTTTAACTGTTCAATAACATTCTTGCTGTTTTTTCTGACTCCTAGTAACCTCTTACGTCACAAAACACACCCCGTCTGGTCGGTTCTGACCAATGGGAAGACTCCCAAATGAACCGGGAAAAGAGCTCTTTAAAATGTCGGTACTTCCTAGTTTACCCAGTTCTGTGGGTTGGAGAAGTTCGGCGGTGCGGACAGTTCTGATATGTCCTAGTGCTGTGTAGGCTGTGGGAGCCGGGAAGACCCTGACATGACCACAGAGCTCTTCCGAGTTTCATGGGATTATAACATTTTCCACTGAGGTGAGCTTGTGTCGGACAGAGCCTCGCCACTACTTCGGACGATTCACAGCATCCTACGGAGACGCTGAAAGGGTGCGTTAAACGGAATCTCGCCTGAGACATCTCCAGGTAAAAGAGTCGATTTCACCACCTAAGTGTACTGTAAGGAAGAAGCTGAAGAAAGCCCGGAGAGTGCCGTTCTGTTCAACACTCTCCCTCAAACACCATCTTTCACCCCCTTTAAACTTCCTTCCCATCTTTAAATTCTTCTCTCAAGTAGAAATTCTTCCAGATATTTTAGAAATGTCTGTGTAAAGTGCTCATCCACCGCCGTGTGGACAATTGAACATAATTGTACAGTTTTCATAAATGTCTGTGGTGAAGCAACGGAAAATCATGGCCGTATGGTTTTTCCTGATTGATTGATTATGTTGTTATTTTCATAATTTGCCAAATTAGTGTAAATGTTTGATGTTAAACTTTGATTCTGTAAATAAATGACCGCATTCATTTTGATGGGTCAAAGATAAATGACGTCTCACGTTTGCATTTCATTAAATTCAATGCACGTTTTATTCAGTCCAGAAAAATGAGGAATCCGTGTTAATTGATGAATATATCTGAGCATCTGTTCATCTACATAACCACAGTCAGTTTTTTGACCAGGCCCACAAATGGGTCATGGATCCCACAGATAAAATAATCAAAAGGCCATACAGGGTGTTTAATAATTCGCAAGCTTTGGTGTCCAGCTTTTCTCATCAGGAGGTAGAATCTATGACCGAGGAGATTGACTACGGACCATCACACCGGACTGGGTCCTGTTGAAAAGAGGGACAGGACGCCACCAGGTGGTGAAGAGAACATCACACGCCATCGGTCTCCAGAATGAGAGTGACACCTGTTACGACCACAACCAGTGCGCCCCTGTAGAGGAGCTGAATCGATCACTGGACCAGTTGGAGGCTGATCTGCTGGAAACATCAGGAGGACAGCTCCCCGCTACACCTGGAGGAGGTGACAAGACCTTCGTGGGAGCTCACCCTTTGCCCCTTTGTTCTGGTAGGAAAAAGGCAGTAGCAAACATTGGAGAAGAAGTCTCCGCTCTGCCTAAGTCGGTCAGTCAGGTGGAACGGGTTAGGACGGAAGATTACCAGCCCTGACCGTGAAGAACAGAAGACGCGTCAAACTGATTTTAGTTTTGTCCCAATGCACACACACGTCATTTAGAATGTCTGATCAGACTGATAAAGGTTCTGAGGACTTTACATGAAGATATCTCCGCGGGCCGAATCCCGCCGAGCACCAAAAGGACCCTTGTGGACGAACAAGGCCTCCCACCGCAAGCTCAAGAACCGAAGACCTGCTAGATAGTCCTGTTTAAATTGAGTGTGTTGTCTTTTTCCTGTTTAATATGAGTGTCTTGTCTTTCCTTTCAGTCATTCTGAAAAACAACCAGAGAAGGGTCATGGATTCAATTGGAAACTCTTAACTATTCAAAATTTTACTCCATTCAATTGGGCAGTTCATCATTCTAAAAATACCACGAGGTATTTTAAAGGTGGTTTAACAGGAGGTCAATTTTGGTATTAGGGTAGAGTTTTACTTATTTTAGTGTGTTGGGCATTTATCTCTTACTAGGAGTGTTGTATTTTTTTGTATTTTTATAAAGGTTATGCATTTGGTATTTTTTACAGGTTTTGAAGGGTTTGAACCAGGGGTCTGGTCCAGGACCCCTGGAGGGTTAGAGTAAGTTTGGGTGCGGTGGCAGTGTAATTCACTTCCATATGGACAAATCCAAAAAGGGGGGATCTCCCATGAATATGGGGAGATCAAAAGAGGGATTGTTGGATTTCATATTTTTATACCTTTTTATATTTCCTATCAAGCATTCAAATGTCATGTTATACAAAGTGTGTGTGTGTCTTTCTTCCAGAGTTGAACTATATTTATAGAAAATGTTTACTAATTCTAACTATTTTACCTTTACATATAATCTTATATTAGCTAATGATAATTTTACAAGTTCACATTTGATATATTACAAGCAATCAAACCATGCCAGATAGCAGACTGATTAACATAAATAAAGCTAGAACACATTTCTTTAATTTAGACTTAATATAGTTTGACTAAGTAAAATCCCTCAGGTTCTCTCTTAATAATAACAATTAACATTTAATCATTGTTGAATACAGGGTCGGTTTAGCTGAGAGGACACAGGGTTAATCGTCACAGTAAGCTACAATAGAATGTTACTAGATGTGGGGGCAGGGTGACTTCAACTAAACTAAAACAAAAGTATAAAAGGGGATAAATTAAGAACACATAAACATGAGTTAGTTAATAATCAATAGTTATTAATTATTCCTAGAAAGAAACAATTTTAACTCAAGATCATTTGGTATCACTAAGGTATAATCACGTTAACTGAAACAGAGCTAAAACAAAGAACCGATTTCAGGGAGCCATAAACTTTTTATCTGTGGAATTTAGAAACTAACGTCCTTCAGGGAGCGGGCTAGACCAGTAACCATGGTAACCGAAGGGCTAAACCAATCAGAAGAGCTAGCTTTCTCAAGCTTTTATAAAAGCCGGAAATGACACACGCTCAGTGAGCATTTCCGGGGAAGACCAGACCGAGACGGTTCGTTCTTTTAATGCTCCAAATATATGCATATATTTTACAAATGTAATTGTTTGTCTCTGAATACCTGTAACCCTGTTTGTCAAATAAATCTTTTATACCGAGGGCGATGTCTCAGCTGTCTTGAACACGACGTGGCTACGGTCCACGACAGTGGATACTTGTGTTCCTGAGTGAGTCAGGGCGTGGCCGGTCGTACGAAAGACCTCCGAGGCCGAGCATAGTGGAGTCCACGAGCCATCCTCAAGCTCTCCACAGGGACAGAAATCTACCTTGCCCAAGAAAGGTCAACAACTGGAAAGGGACTAAGGAGTGAATATTATTCATCATGTAACCTCTTTGTAATCAAATGTAATCATTACTGTGCATACCGCTGTTTCCCTGCAAAGATTATTGATTAAAATAAAGTAAAATGTAAAATTCTGGATTCTTATTTCATCACCCTCTTTGTTCTTGGAAGTGCAAAACTTGATTCAGAGAAACAACAGAAGCACGGGAGGTTAACGGCTTATTAGCTTTTGATTATAAAACAACATCCAAGAGTCTAGCGCCTAGACTCTAAACAAAGCCAGATTGGTTAACAATTGCAACGCTAAATCAGGAGATGAGCTACCGTTAACTTGTGCTTCCTCGTCTGCTAAACGTCCCCACTCCTGCTGCTAGGTCGTGCGAGGCATGAGGTGAAACTTTGGGTGTGGTGCAAGGATCGTAGGTAGTTAACAGTCTGGGTGAATCCTCTCAACACAGCCTTAGACTAAAACTGTCCTAGGAAACGGCTACGGGTAACACCTGAGCCATAGGATTAGTTTTGATACCCGTTGGAGGAGAGGCTGCAGCGAGGGCGTGGCACGTGTCCTGTGTCTACCTCACTCGGGAAAGCAAAACAATGTCTTAAATCGTGTCCTGATAAGGACAAGGTGTAAAGAGATCTTTGTTGCAACACCACTATCCTCCCCTCATGGTCTTTTTCCTTTTTACTTCTAAAGAATAAGAGGCAATGTGCACTCCGTCCATCTTTCAGACGACTGTGCAGAATAAAATCTTGCTGTACTTTGTGGTGCACGATAATAAACTTGATGCTAAACTTGAAAAATAAAGCTGTATGACTCGCCAATTAAAAAGGAAAAATTATTTAAATTTAGGCAAAACAATGGTCAATATATTGATTACAAGTTTTATTTTATTTAAAAAAAATTCAAGTTCACAGAAAAACAAAAAAAACAAACGGGCTTTTAGAGTATTGTAGGGCAACACATGTCAACTGCACTGCAGAAAAGATGCAATTGATATTTACAGGACTGCCATAAAAAAAAGTGAATAAAGGTTGGAAATGATTGTTTACCCTAAAAGAGGGCAATTTAAAATATGGCTGAGAACATTCAAACACATCTGCCAGACAAAAATAAAACCCATCACAGAAGTGGATATAAAGAACAAATGTTGAACTTCTTGGATTTAACACTGTTCACGGGTGCAGAGAATGTAAAGCGACTCGTTGTGACCTGCTAAATGAACAAACAGATATTCTGCACTAATACTTCAATGTGTAACATTATAATCTGATCATACAGCGCTGACAAGCTGCTAATCTGAACCGTCGGATGATTTACAAGTGAGGGCAAAGGATGAAATATACTTTATGTAGGCCACAGTTTGGCAACAAACGTTATACATATTCATGAAATCAAACTGTACAGACAGACAGAAACAAAACACTCGATTTAAAACTTTAGTACTAAAGCTACAGAGTTGAAAATATGTTTATCTTTTTTAAAACTTTTTTACTTCAAAAAGTTGTTGGTTGGAGTGAGTGGGAGGAGTTCTAGTTTCTGTTAAAGATGTGCCTTTATTTGGAAATACATGTTTGTTACATGGCTTCCTTCAGGTCGGCCGACCACTGTCCATCCGTGTACGTGCGCCAGTACCATCATCACCACTTTACGAGCACATCACACACCACGTACAACAGAACAGAAAAACTAAACCAGTGGTCGCTAACAGAACACTTTCATACGGACCTGATGGCCATGTTGGATTTAACTAGAAGTGCAACACCGAGGGGGGGGGGCTGTACAGAGTGTCATGGTGCTCCATTTTGCCAAGCGAGCAGAGGTAACCAACCAACCAACTGTAAAAAGTGAGCACGCTCCTGGCTCCATCGTCATATCCACAACTATAACGAGCTACAGCGACAGGCTGCGGAGGAAGAGGAGGAACGGGACAAAGCCAGTGTGTGTGAAGAATGCTGGATGAGTCAGTACATCACTTCCTTCCACTGTGTCACAAAACAACAGACACCCTTTAACGCCTTTCTTCTTCTTTACAGTTTGATTGACAGGTGACTTGAACTGGACATTCTAAACTCCACCAGTTTCAGTTTTTTCCTGGTTGGGATGCAGGACTCACTCCTTCCAGATCAGAACATGGGCATGGTGAACCCCTGCAACAACAACAGGACAGAGCAGAAACGTTGGAAACAATCAACTTCCTCACAAGCAACAAGGTCAAGCAGCAAACTTGGCTGCACTTTATAAACTCTACTCCAAACAAGTTGTGAAGTTGTGCAGCTGGAGGAGCATATCGCTGGTTATTTAGCAACAGGTCAGGAAGAGGAGTTGGTACAAAAACTGCAGGCTGCATCTCAGGAACACGTCCACAAACCGCATCATTCAGAAACGCTGGTCTGAACCAACGCTTGTTTAAAATGGACTGAGCCAAAGTGGAAAACTTTCTGTGCTGGACTGAATTCAGTGTCGGAGTACATTTGACCTCAAGAACCTGTCACCAAGTAAAATGCTGCTTTCCTTCTAAAATGATTTTCAGAAACAAGTTTGGAAGGACAAAAGGTATGGCACATACCGACTCATCTTCTATCATCGCTGCTGAGTCAAAGAAGTCCGGTCTTAACTCGGCCCGTTCACGTCTGTTCCTCGATGGCGGCTGATAAGATAAAGGTTTGAACAAAAGGAACTTATTTGACTTTAATTAAAGTTATCTAAATGCATCTTGCATAAGAAGTATCACTGACCAGATCGATCACCATTGTATCTTCAAACTCCTCGTTCATGTCCTCTAGCTGCCCTCGCGATGACATCATCACGTCTTCAAAGATTGGCTCAGCGTCATCCTCCATCAGCCCGCGCCTAAAGAGCAAACGTCACTTTAAACAGGTGTGATAGAACATCTGGTAACATTTATGATGTTTTAATGTTTTACACTGTCTGCCGGACGCCTTGATTACTCCGCGACTTGATGTAGTTCATGCTTGTTCGGTCCTTCCTGGTTACCTCCTCCATCTTCTGCTGGCTGAGCCACGACATCTGCATCTGAGGACTGGAGACAAGTCTCAGATAAATCATGACACAGTTTACCAGTTCAGTGATACTGTGGAAAAATGACGAGGACTGTACTTGTGCACATAGTCGTTCTCTGATCCTGGCTCTGAGTCCGGGTCAGGCATGTGTTCTGCTGCTCTGTTCTCTCTGAGGACCGTTGAGGTGAGCTGAGGAGTCTGGAGCGCCCCTGGTGTTTGGAGGGTGTCATTTCTCATCATCCACGAGCTCTCCACACTGCTTTCTTCTGGAATCATGCCACAGACAGGAGACGGAGCAAACCGCTGTGTTAGGAGCATTTCTTTCCCTTGTAACCGAGGTTCCTACACATTTACAATTTCAAAATTTCAAACTCAGATTGACAGGTTTCAGTCCATTTTCAGTCCGTTGTTAACGTGTAAGTACAAACAATTAGACGAAACATCTTATTTCTTCCTCCATGACTGTACGTCTTAAATAACAGAACACAAGCTCACAGTAAATATGTTAAAGAGTATTTAGCAACTCTGTTAATAAAGAACAACTCTTAAATAGACTTTTGAAATATCTGCCTGAAGGAATAGTTATATAAATGTTCAACAATTTACAAAACGGTAACAGACGTTAGTGCCATGTTCTCAGGCAAACAACGCAATCCTTTCTTTGTGTATTTCTGCAGATGATGTGATGCTGTGCATGACAGATCTCTCTTGTAAATGAGTCCTGAGGCTCAATGGGATTAACCTGTATAGATAAAGGTTGAATGACTGACAGCTGCAGGTACATGTTACACTTATATTTCAATTCAATTTGTCACCATTTGTTCCACACAAAAATTGGTCCATGGAAAAAAAAAGAAGCCCACCTACATTACTGCACAGTTTTCAGTTAGCTGCGTTTACAAAATGTATCAAAATAATTATTAAAACTATGGCTAGCGTACATATTTTATACTAAACATAAAACAACTAAAAACTAACTAAAAAATTCACTATTTGACCCTTTTTAAATCCTTTTTTTTTGATTAGTAGAAACTAGAATAGTGAATGAAAAAAAAAAATGAAAAAAAAAAATAAAAATAACAGCCAGTAGGGAGCACAAGCCAGTGTATCTCTGGTTCTGGTCCCAAGCCCGGGTAAATGGTGAGGGTTTGTCACAACCATAATGTGAGTTCATCAAAGTGAAACCGTACCGGATCGGTCGAGGCCCGGGTTAACAACGACCGCCACCGGTGCTGTTGACAAACAGGGTGCCGGCGGAAATTGTTCTACTGTTAGTTGAAGACCACGAGGAGAGAAACGTGTCAGGAGACAGAGGAGAAGAGGAAAGTGACGAATGTAGGACTGAGGGTTGCAACTCTAAATGTGGGGACAATGACAGGCAAAGGTAGAGAGCTGGCTGACATGATGCTGAGAAAGAAGGTAGATGTTTTATGTGTCCAAGAGACCAAGTGGAAGGACAGCAAGGCTCACAGCACTGGAGCAGGGTTCAAACTGTTTTACTGTACCATGGTGTGGATAGCAAGAGAAATGGAGTAGGTCCTGCAGGAGGAGTTGGTAAAGAATGTAGTAGAGGTGAAAAAATGGGGCCGAGATGGGGTAGAGGTAGGGCAGCTGTCTTGGGACCAGAAAGTCGCAGTTAGACTCCCAGTCATTCCCACATGTCGTGGTGTCTCCGAGCATGAAACCCAATCCCTAATTGCTCCCTGGGCACTTACATAGTTGCCCACTACTCCACCTGGGTGTATCCCAGGTGTCAGGCCAGGAGTGGCCTATCGGGACGACCTGGAGAATTCCCGGTGGGCCGGTCTGATTTGTGGGCTGCAGGGCCGATGCTCCCTGTTTTTAAAAAAAAATCTTTTACAACTTTTTTTAACAACATATAACACAGATCACAGCTACCGCGCTTAGGGCTACATACTGAACCGAGGTTCTTTTATAGCACTGACCGAACTGCACCGGTCGGTGTATGTATTGAAACGTCACTCTTCTTTCGGTGTCAAGTTTCGGTATTGGCTGTAACGTGTCACGTGGTTTCAGCATGCAGGCTGGTAAAACAGCAGACATATGACAAACAGACTACACCCAGATTACACCCAGAGCTGTATAGAGCTGCTGTACCTAATCTATATATAATGTATGTCTATGGTGCTGGTGACGCCCACAGAAGGGATTGATGTGTGCAGCGCGTGTTGTCGAATGGCTTCAATTTATGAGCAGAAAGTTGCTCCGTGTTTTTCTGCAAGGAGAGAAGAGTTCAGCAGCCTCCCCCCACTCCTCCTCCTCTCAGCATTAAAGTCAGCCTGTGAGTAGAGCCTGAACGTCCTGATTCATTATCTCCATGACCGGACTCTTCATCAAAGAACTCTGAGGACGGCTCTGTGTCTGTGCTTCAGCTGGTGAGTTACGTTTGTTAGCGTAACTGCAACTTAACACGTACATCGCAGTGAAATAAACTATGATCCATGTAACTCTAACTTTAACATATTAGTGTGTAAATTTATTTTATCTATGTAGCTAGCTAAACTCAGAAGCTAAATAAAGATTGACAGTAACAGATAAAGCTTAGCTTGTAAAACTGCTCATCCATCCAGTCAGCTGCTTAAACAGTTCACTAATGTTCACTGTTTATGTTCATGTTCTCCTCACAGGAGGTTCTGACCCAGATGTGAGGACAGAGACAGACAAAAGAAAAGAAAAGTGAGGTGGGGGCCACAGGACAGTCACAAACTTTTGTTGTTAAAAGTTTGCTGCTTTTTCTACAGTGGAGCTGCATGTTGGAGGTAAATTAAACTGTAAAGGATGTTGTTGACCAGTTCAACCTTTATCTCTCAGCCTAGATAATGTTTTTTTGATCAATAAGAACACAACCGTGTTACTGTTGATGTTTTGTTCTCATGTCAATTAGGGAGATGATCAGAGCCCTAAACCCCAGAGAACCAGAGAAGATTCAGGAAGAGACACAGAGGAGCAGAAGTCTGCATCAACCCTACCTCAGTGAATCCAGTGACCTGCTGGTGGAATGTGAGGGACAATATGTCAAACTGGTAACCAGGTATCTGTGTGTGCAACAATCATCATCTACAGCCTCAGAGTGAACATGTTCTACTGCTGGAGACACCATCAGCCAGGAGCAGCTGGTTTGTATCCAGAGAAAACAGACATGTTGATGTTTCTGAAGAAAAACTGTTCAGTGAAAAGGTCCTCAGTGTGTAGCAGTGAACATTAGACACTGACGTGTCACTGGTTTGTAACTGGTCTTTTGAACTGGAAATTATTTGTTTGTTTTAATGTAAGAAAACTGCTTGGAATAGAAAAATATCAAAGTTAAAAAATAAAACTCACAATTTGTACTGTAATGTGTAACGTAATTTTATTCTTGTTAGAATTAATATTTATTACAAACTTGGTACCAAAAAAAAGAACCGTCCAGGAACCGACACCGAAGTGAAGGTACCGACACAGATTTTTTTTAGAAAGGTACCCAGCTCTAACCGCACTGCTCCTGGGCCGCCCCGACCTTCATTTATTCACGTCATCATCAATTTATCACTGCAGCAGTTGAGGAGCAGGGCCGCCCCACCTCCACTTTTAGTTTTGGTTTTTTTGTTACGTGCCCGGAGGTGACACACAAGTGTGATCAGTGGAAAGATGGAAGGGAGAAAAAGCAAGGGTGGTGCAGAGAAGAATTAAAAAGAGAAAGGCTCCGGAAACAGACGCGGCTAAATGTGCAAAAATTGGCACGTTTCACTCAAACGAGCTCCAGGTTTGTAGCTTTAAATGAAGATGATGAAACACGTAACACATGATGTTGAACTCTGCCTGCAAACCACCGTTCAAGTTCATTATCAATTCAATGAATTGTGTCATGTATGGCATTGTGACATAACATACTGTTAGATAATTTAAATAATATTATGATGTGACGCCACATAACTGAAACTTTGTTGTAGCCCTTAAGAGTCAGAGTCAGAAGCAAGATTCAGCCCCACCATCAAGCAGCAGCCATGAACCCCAAGCCCAGAGTGGGCAGGTAGGATTACTCATGGACTGAATAACACCAAAGTCCATGCTCAATAATCCAGGTATACAATCCAACATTTTTCAGTCAGGTCATCTGGACAGTTTCTTTTTTTGTGCTGAAACCTTTCGCCTTCGATCCAGAAGGCTTCATCAGTCAAGGAAACACACAACACAACTGATTCTTCCCCCAACATCTTACTCCAAAGTGGAACAAACCAGTTCTGCTTGTGATGGAAATGGCTGTAGTCAACACCTGTTTCCAAAAGAGGGAGGAGCATAGAGTGACCTATAAGAGTGGAGGAAGGAGTACGCAGGTCGACTACATTCTGTGTAGAAGAGGAAACCTGAGGGAGATTGGAGACTAAGGTTGTGGCAGGGGAGCATCAGAAGGTTGTGTGTAGAATGACTTTTGTTGCAAAGAAAGATATACTCTACTGTTTAATATTCATTTAAAGCTACTAAAGATGCTAAAACCTGTCTCCATACTTTACCATGACAGAACAGGAATATCTGTGTAACAACCAGTGGTCGGTCCAGCCCAACATGACAGAGTAAAAACCATCTGCTCACCTTCGATGCGTTTCTTGTGCAGAGGTGGTCTTCCTTTCTTGCTGCGGACTGAGCCGGTCTTGCTACTGGATCCTGATGTGATGGACATGTGGTCCTCGTCTCCGCCTGTCAGAAGACTGTTCCTGTAGGAGATGAGCGGTAGCCACACATCTTCCCGACGCTCCGACATCGAGTCTGACATGAACTTCTCCAGGTAAGAATGGCTATAGAGATGCAAAAGATTGCACAGTAAAATAATGCACTTTTGGACATCTCTTAAAAAGCAAGACTTGACAATAAAGCAGCCACACATTTATTTTTGTCTGTTTTCATTCAGTTCTTCTATTGAGTGCTGTCAATAAACAATCATTCCTGACAAAAACCTAAAAATCATTCTAATCTTTTGTTAATTTAATCATTTATTTTAAATGCAGGGTGGCACGATGGCGCCGTTGGTGGAGCTGCTGCCTCTCATCAAGCAGGTCGCCCTAGTTCAAATCCTGACCGGGGGCCTTTCTGGGTGGAGTTTGCATGTTCTCTACGTGCTGCGTGGGTTTTCTCCAGGTACTCCAGTTTCCTCCCACAGACCAAAAACATGCATGTTAGACTGACTGGTAACTGTTGGATTTGACATATTTTATATCTTCTTATATCTTCTTATATCTTAGGGCTTTCGGAGTAACCCTGGAGATAAAATCTGCTCCTGAGTGGCTGAACATGGTGTCACTCGGACCATCAAGAGGTTTTGACATCCAATCAGACTGCATTCTGATTACATGTAATATCTGCATACTTTAACTTTGTCTCAATTAAATCTTTAATACTAAGGTGAAGTGCTCCTGAAATTCTGTGCTCGGGTCATTTGAACACCACAAAACCCTTCATAACTCTAAATTGTCCCTAGGTGAGAGAGAGTGAATGGTTGTTTGTCTTGTTTGTCTCTATGTGTCCCTGTGATGGACTGGAGGCCTGTCCTGGGTGTACCCCGCATCTTGCACAGTGATTGCTGGACATGGACACCAGTGACCCCCGCGACCCAAAAAGGAAGAAGAGGGTAAAGATGATGGATGCATGTTTTAAATGCTTCTGTAACCTCACAGTTACTGCCCTCTAGAGTTCCTTAGGGGGAAATCTAAATTTAATTTATCATACAGTGGTCCCTCATTTATCACAGGGTTCTTTCTGTACCCTGACACCCCCCATAAGTGGAAAAACTGTGAAGTAGGGATCCAATAGTTCAAGTTCAGTAAACTTTGTCATGACATATGCCAGGCTGTAATCACAACAACAATTTAAATTTAAATACTGAAACAAAAACAAAAAATCCATTTATCCTTTATTTATCCAGGTAGTCTCATTGAGTCACGAGAACTCATTTTCAAGAGAGACCTGTTTTTTGGGGAGCAGATGGTGGGGGTTAAAGGCCTTGCTCATGGGCCCAGAGTGGGGAGAATGAGGGTGGGGGCAGGTGTGGGTGTTTCACCTTTTCCACCCACATTTTGATGTTGACTGTACCGGCAGTTGAACCTGTGACTTTTCGATCACAGGCTCATGTTCTCTAACATTTGTGCCACCACTCCCCAAAAATGAAAAAATTTCATTTTATTTTAGATTAATTTCATTCATACATTTTACTTTAGTTATAATTTTAGTTATTTTAAATAAATAGTCCATGCAGCATGGACTGTTTATTTAAAATATCACAGTATTTAAATTTAAATTGTAGAGAAGAGAAGTGCAACACCGAGGTGGTTAAAAAGTTCCTCGGTGGCAGGGCCCCAGGGGTGGATGAGATTTGCCAGGAGTTCCTTAAGGCTCTGGATGTTGTAGGGTTGTGTTGGCTTACACGACTCTGCAATATTGCATGGACATCGGGGGAAGTTCCTCTGGATTGGCAGACCGGGGTGGTGGTCCCCTATTCAAAAAGGGGGACCGCAGAGTGTGTTCCAACTACAGGGAGATCACGCTCTTAAGCCTCCCTGGTAAGGTCTATTCGGGGGTTCTGGAGAGGAGGGTTCGTCGGACAGTCGAACCTCGGATTCAGGAGGAGCAGTGCGGTTTTTGTCCTGGTCGTGGAACACTGGACCAGCTCTACACTCTCAGCAGGGTCCTGGAGGGTGCGTGGGGATTTGCCCAACCAGTCTACATGTGCTTTGTGGACTTGGAGAAGGCGTTCAACCGCATCCCTTGGGGAACCCTGTGGGGGGTACTCTGGGAGTATGGAGTACCGGGCCCTTTGATACGAGCTGTTAGGTCCCAGTACGACCGGTGTCAAAGCTTGGTCCGCATTGCCGGCAGTAAGTCGGGCTCGTTCCCGGTGAGAGTTGGACTCTGCCAAGGTTGCCCTTTGCAACCGATTCTGTTCATAACTTTTATGGACAGAATTTCTAGGCGCAGCCAAGGTGTTGAGGGGATCCGTTTTGGTGACCTGCTTTTTGCAGATGATGTGGACCTATTGGCTTCATCAGGTTGTGACCTACAACTTTCACTGGAGTGGTTCGCAGCAGAGCGTGACGCGGCCGGGATGAGGATCAGTTCCTCTAAATCTGAGGCCATGGTCTTGAGCCGGAAAAGGGTAGAGTGCCCTCTCTGGGAGGAGACCCAGAGGAAGACCCAGGACACGCTGGAGGGACTATGTTTCTCAGCTGGCCTGGGAACGCCTCGGGATTCTCCCGGAGGAGCTGGTCCAAGTGGCTGGGGAGAGGGAAGTCTGAGCCTCCCTACTTAGGTTGCTACCCTCGCGACCCGACCCCGGATAAGCGGAAGAAAATGGATGGATGGAGAAGTGCAGCAGGACATCAAAGAGATGTCACACAGCTTCAGCTCTGCAGCACAGAGCAGATATCTACTTACTGATCAATAACACTGAAACAACTGAACATAGAAGATCTAAAATAATTAAAAATAACTTTTAACACTTTTATATTTTGCGATTATGATGATTTTTATGATGTGACATACTTTGAATTTTAAGTTGAAAGACAAAAGTCGATTGGTGCATCTGGACAGCAAAGGGTTAAGCTGACACAGGAGAAATGTGTGTGTGGCAGAGGAGATCATGACAGGCTGCAGGAGGGAGCTTCTCCCTGCACTTGTGGGCTGCACACATAGTGCAAAAACATTTAAAATAACTCCAAAAAAGTTCAATCTGGTCCTCTGGACATTCAAAAAAACAAAACAAAGCAAAAAAAAAAAAAAGTAGAAATGTTTCTTCTTTCGTCCGAGAGACTTCTTCAGTCTGAGGTGCTGTTTTCAGCTCAGTCTCTTAAATAGCACCTTCTCAGAGTGGATCAACCAGTTTGCTGCTGACAACCAGAACCAGCTGATCATATGATCAAGAAGGACCATCAGCCTAACAATGGATCATTAGCTAGTATCACTCAGCCCTCTGTGAACAGTAAACAGCCATCAGGTGCTAATGATCCATTGTTAGGCTGATGGTCCTTCTTGAGCATGTGAGCAGCTGGTTCTGGTTGTCAGCAGCAAAACTGGTTGATCCACTCTGTGAAGGTGCTATTTAAGAGACTGAGCTGAATACAGCACCTCAGATTGAACTTTTTTGATTTTTCTACCTGGATTATTGAGCAGCATCAGGATATTTAAAATAACTTATTTTAAATAAACAACCCATGGCTCATCCATCAATCAGCCAATTGTGTCATGTCCAATCTTATTTTGAAAAACCACGATAAACGAACAGCAAAGTGGCGAGGGACTACGGTATTGTATTTTTTGGATCCCATATTTATTCTATGCTTTGCTTTTTTTATTTCACCTCTGTCGCTATTGTTCTATTGTGTCCAAAAAATAGTTGTAGATGTAAAGAGCAACAAAACACTTGCATGTGGAAACTGTGCGTGACAGAGGAAAATATTTAGTAGAGAAAGTAGTTTGTCATGCAGGCTGAAGACTCGGGTGCTCCGGGGTTGAGAACTGCTGACTCCCGATGGATTCAAGCTGGACCTCAACAGCAGCTGCACTGTGCTGCACGAGCTCAGTGGTCTACCCAGTTCAATAAAGGCTGAAAATGAAACACAAACTGGTCCAAGTAGAGTTTTGGAAAAAAATAAAATAATATATAATTTTTTTAAAATAAAATAATAAAATCTGACTGACACATGCAAATCTGACCAAAAACAAGACATCATTTTCAGTTTCCGGTTCTGGAGGGTCCAGTGAGCAGGATGGTCTTGTCAAAGCTCCAGACTGAATTTTTAAACTAAATTATCAAAATATTTTCTGGAAGTACTAATGGGGGGAATGTTAATTTTGTTCCACCCAAATTGCCATAAAATACATATTTTTTCTATAAAAAATAACTAAAGTAAAAAGAATCTGTGGAGTTTTATTATTTATTTTTCCAGCTAAAATCCCTTAAGGATTAAAAATGTTTAAGAAGCCATTTCAGTAGGATATTTTTAGTCTGAGCGAGACTGATTACAGTGGAACAACAACAGTATTGAAGCAGTAAAGTAAGGTCCCTGTAAGAAACACTTATTGATGTACAATGGAAGGTGTGGGTTCCGTTAGGGATAACTTACACTGTCTTCTTGTCTTGACGGATTAGTTTGGAGGAGAATTCACTCAGGACTTCCAGGAAGGCCAGGTTGAGAGGAGGAAACTCTGGTCCTCGAGGATTCTGATATTTAAAGGCAAACTCTATTCCATCCCTGACATGACAGAAGGAAAAACAAGACAAAAACTAAACACTAAGCACGGCAGCTTTCAGTTATCTGACTCTGTGTGGAGAACAGGACTCATCTTACTTGTGCAACGTTGCAACAGCTTCTCTGGTCTTGATCTGATCAAGGCCAAAGGTGAGGGCGAAGCGGCGGGCCAGCTCCTTGATGCCACTCACGTGAGACGATGTTCGGTCCAGGTTGGGACCCTGATCTTGAAGGAGCTCGTTGAACAGCTGTGACACACACACACACACACGTTTGTAACACACTATGAAAACAAACCATGTGTGTGGGGCTGCAGAGCGCTCACCTGCTGCAGACTGAGTATGAGCGTCTTGGCACAGAGAATCTTATCCGTCTGTCTGGTTTTACTCAGAGTTTCTTTAATGATGTCACCGTAATCATTGTAGTACTAAAAACAGATCAAATGCAAATGAAAATTATTATTTGAAGAAGAAAAAAAATCTTATTTTTCAGAGAAAAAAGTATTTATTTGAATAAACTCACTTGTGTTACCTCCTCAGTCTTCAAAAATATAATTTAACTCCATGCATAGTTTTCAATTTAATTAACTACTTGATAAAATGTAATATATGCAAACTAAAAGACCTTCATGTAGTGTTTGAAGATGTCAGCAGCAGCAGGCATATCTACGATGTCATAGATGATGAGTTTGCAGAAAGCTGCAAGCAGATTTCTCCTCTTATGGAGAGCCTCAATCTTGTTGGCCTCGTCCTCTTCGTCTCCCTCTGCACACACACAGGAAAGGATGAGGAGAGGAAGAGTCTCCACTCATCTCATACACGATTGTTGTGACAATTAAAATCCTAGCATTCCTTGAAGAAATGCAACCATGTTTCGCACCCATGCTCTGGTTCTCATCATCCTGGTCGATAAAGACGTGGTCTAGGACAAAGTTCAGCAGCTCGTTCTGCAGAGTGCCGTCTGGGTTGAAGACGAGGGGCTGTAGGCCATCCCTACCCCCAGAGACCAGCTGGTGACTGAAGATCATCAGCAGGTCGCAGAGAAGCATGAATGCCTGAATGAGAGATGGCAAACAAAAACTAAAATGTGACTCAACAGCTAATTTTCTGTCACTCCACAAAGACTTTGCTCTGTGTTCAACTCTTCTGTCACCTGTTCTTTGACCGGTGTGTTGACGTTGGACAGGCACTGCTGACACACAGCCAGAAAAGACTTGACCACTCTCCTGAGAGCTACGAGGTCATCCTGCAAAAACACAAAGCATCATTCCATCGTTAGCAACGAGTCCCAGACACTGAAGGCTGGAGCAGAGATCAACACACCTGCACACCATCAGTCGGTTCTCTAACCACGCTCAGTGAAAATTAGAGGCTTTAATCCACTTCAGTTAGAACAGTAAAGAAAACACTTTACTCTTTTATTGTCAACTTATTACCAGGCCACCACTGGGTACTGCAAGTTTTAAATGACATGTAGTAGATGAATGCTTAAAGACATCTCTAGGTCTCTCTGGCCAGTTGACGATGGTTAAACAGATTTTTCTTATTTCTTGAGAAAAAAAAAACAGGTCTAACAGGTCTCTCTTGTAAATGATTCCTCGAGGCTCAACGAGACTAACCTGTATAAATAAAGGTTGAATGAAAAAGTTGGATTAAGAACCCTTAATAAGACAACGATTGCTCCGAGTTGATTACCAGGATACAGCTCAGTGAGTTTCTTTAGTTTGTTTGTCCTGATTGTTTTAGTGTTTATAATATTTGCTGTGGTCATTGTACTGTGACAGAACAGTGTGAGCCGTGTTATGACACATTATATCGCATCACATGTGGTACATGAGGTGGAATGAAATTGTGTACTCAAGGTCCCAGTTACACCCAAAAATAGCAAAAATATAAAGTATAAAAAGGAACTGTACACAAGGATCTAAGATATACGCTAAACACTAATAATGTAAAACAATATGGTGTATTAAACAGCAGCCTGAACATGAGTCTGTTGTGAGCAGATGGTTTGAATTCAGCAGCTTAAAGGCAAGAGATCAGCAGCATGGATAATCAGCAGCACAGATAAAGTCACATATCACCAATTAAAGTGTCATTACAGTGATTTTTTTCTCCGTACAGTGATTCTCCTGGTTAGAGATTCATGAGTCTAACAGCCTCAGGGTAGAAGCTGTTCCTCAGTCTAGTGGTTCTACACTTAATGCTCCTTAACCTCCTTCCTGAGGGGAGTGGGGCAAAAAGTGTGTGTGCTGGGTGAGTGGAGTCCTTCATGATGCAGGTGGCCCTCTTCCTGCATCTGGAGGTGTAGATGTCTGTGATGGTGGGGAGACTGACTCAAACATCTTCTGTGCAGCCTTCACCACTCTCTGCAAAGCTTTTCTTTCTGCAGCTGTGCAGCCTCCATGCCACACGTTGATGCTGGAGCACAGGATGCTCTCCACTGCACACCTGTAGAAGGAGATGAGGACTGAGCTTCCAGACCAGCTCGTCTCAGCCGTCTGAGGAAGTAGAGTCTCCGATGAGCTTTCTTCATCAGGCTGGTAGCATGTGCAAACTTTACAATGTGACAGCCTGGATGGGTAGGTGCAGTCATATGTAAGCAGAGTGAACAGGAGGAGGCTCAACACACAGCCTTGAGGAAACCCAGTGCTGAGGGTTATGGTGGAGGAGAAGTTGTAGATGGGTGAGAGCAGTGTGGACCACAGAGGAGATGGCATCTTCTGTTGCTTGATTCTTACGCTATGGGTCCTCGTTGATGTTGATGGTAGCTTTACCCACATCAAAGCAACCAAGACTTTAGAACCTAGATCACTGAATGGCGGACTCCGGTCCAAATCCGGACCAAAATGATGTCTCATGCGGATCCGAACCTTGATTTTACAACATTAGTTCAGTCGGTGATGTTTCTATTTCTTTGTGAACTAATCCATTCCACTTGATTAATATAATACTCAAACCACTAAAATTCCCCTCCAGGTTTTCCTGGTTGTGTACATCTCTCCACACAGCATGCAGTGTTTCTCAGAGATCGCTCACAGCTTGAGCTTCACTCAGCTGAGACACATCTGTGTCGCTCGCCAGCTTAGCGAGTTCAGTGCGGGCAGTTGTTGACCGGGGGTTAGGATCATAGACCTATGCTTTAGAGAAGTGGAGCTCTGCATTTGTAGCATGTTATCTTAGCAGTAACTGTGACTCTGTCAGACGCTGCAGGTGTAAGAGACGCTGTGTGTTCAGGTGCATTAAAGTTGAAATGTCTTTAAACCCCCACACCTTATTGTCCTCAAGCTTCGTGAGAAACATCATTTAGATGAGGAGTGTTGAACACAAGTAAAAATGTCCATTGGTAATGATTTTTTTTAAAAACACAAATAGTATCGACCTGACGCTCTGTATTAAAGTGTATTTAAGTTAAAATGTCTTTAAAACCCACAGCTGAATTTACACAAACTTGGTGAGAAACATGTTTTAAATGTGTGGAATTAAAAGAAATCTAGGTGAAATGTTTTTTGAACACTGGTGCATGTGTGTGGGCATGCGTGCACATGCACACGCACACACACTGCTACCCCCCCCCCCCTTACAGATGCTTCTGACGCCTTTCAAGTCAAGTTATGTGATTTAAACGATGATGTGAAACATCACATATTATTAAAGTTAGCTGAAGATACCAGGTTTAATTTTTATTTATTTATTTATTCAACACCAAAAACTGTAAGTGACACAAACACTGATAAGAAAATTGAACACACTATTAAAAACACAGTAACCAAACTGTAAACTACATGAACTATATATCACATTCAGTGTTTCCCCTAGATAACTTGCCATAGCGGGGCGCTCATCTCGTCCGTGATTTTTTTTTGGGGGGGTGGGGGTAGCTGGAATGGAGACTTCTCCTCAGCTGCGCAGTGCGCTGTTTAAACCAACAGTTTTGGGGGACACAGCCGCGTGCTGTTTGTACTGACAGTTTTAGAGCAGGGTGTGTGAGAGGAGAGACATATCTCAGCCGCACACTGTCTGAACAGACAGTTTGGTTTTTTTGGGTGGGGGGTGGGTCGGTGTAGGGGAGAGACAGACGCACATCTGAGCCGTGCGCTGTTTGTACCGACAGTTTTCGAGTGGCAGGGGTGCGTTCAGCGTGAGGGTTCAGCGTGAATACCTTTAGCGTTTTAGCTAGTGCACCTGCATTGCGAGCCACTAGTTTAGCGTTACGTCAGTGCAGACAGGTGGGTGGGGTTCGGTAGGCAGGGAGCTCAGTTCTGTTGACGGGGCGGGGCGCCCCACTTGTATAATGGTAGAGGAAACACTGACATTAAATTGTTGGACTTCCGGACCTTGGCCTCATGAAATTTTGTCTGACTGGACCTCTTTAAATTATAATTGAATGCCCCTGCTTTAAAACATAAGGCATTTGAAGCATTTAGCAACTATCAAGTGAGGGCTACTGGCCGGTAGTCATTCAGACCAGTCACTGCAGAACTCTTTGGAACTGGGATGATGGTGATGGTATTCAGGCAGGTGGGAACAGTTGCCAGGGTGAGGGAGGAGTTAAAGATGTCAGCCAGCACCTCGCAAAGCTGATCAGCACAGTCTTTCAGCACCCTCCTTGGGATATTGTCTGGGCCAGTTGCTTTGTGAGGATTAATCCTCCTGAAGGTCCTCCTTACTTCTGCTGAGGAACTCCTCTTCCGGTGGTGAGGTGAGTCTGGTGCTGGGTGATGTATTTGGGTCTTCAAAGTGAGCATAGAACCTGTTAAGAGCATCAGGCCTGTGCCCTGAGACAACTTTGTTGTGATTTGGCGCTATATAAATAAATTGAATTGAAACTAAACTAAACAGGCAGTGATGGGTCCCTAAGGCATTGTGCACCTCTGCTTATATAATCTGTGATGCCCTTAATGCCCTTCCACATGCTCCATGGGTCCTGTGAAGAGAACATTCCCTGGATCTTCCATGCATATGTGGCTTTGACCCTCTTAATACCAGCAGCCAGCTCTTTCCTTGCCCTCCCCTGTTCCTGTGAGTTACCAGACCTGAAGACAATATCCCTGGCTTTCAGCAGGGTATGGACCGGTGCATTCCACCAGGGTTTCAGGTTCAGGTAGCACTTCACAATCGTGCTAGTGGTGACATGTTCAGAACACTTGCTGATTGATATACAGTGCCTTGTGAAAGAGAGGTCCTCGGTGCCTTCTGCAGTGCCTGCTGTTGAAAGAGGAGTATAACAGTTTTCCTGAAAGAAGGCTGCTCACTGCCTTTCATTTAAAATATATATTTTTTGTTAATCCAGCCTGGATTTATGAGTTGCTGTTTAAATAGCAAATTCTGGTAAATTAAACGGCTTAAAAAAGCGTTTGAAAACTAAAGTTGCTGTGAGACTTTTAGAAAAATTGCAGGGTTATTAATTTTAAGTGCATTTGAGTAAAAATAATGCTGAAATGGCCTGGTTCATTGTATCTGTTACAAAATAAGCACATTAAGTAACTAGCTCAGGATGCATTTACTTACAATATTAATGGGGTAAGGTCTAAACACAGGGGCCCATTTATTGGAAAGTTGGCTTATAACAGTACTGTTGATTGAACCCAGAGCTAAAATAGTGTATAAACGCTCACTGCTCATTTAAATACAAATATTTACTTGTTAAAAACTTTAAAGTTGGCAACTGTTTAACCAGATAAGTGCTGAACAGTGAATAACCATGGCAGATGTGACAGAAAAGAATATTACTCCTTGTGAGGGGAAGGACTGGTTGGAGAGAGCGTTAACGCTGCTAACAGAGTCCTTACATCCATATGGTGAACAGGTGGACAGCATGAACTCAAAAGAGTTATTGGACGAGCTGAAGGATGTTGCAGAGTGTGTCACTTCCACAGCCAGAACAAAGTCAAGCTATGACCAGCTGGCTAAGTTAGCGCTCTTGTTGAAAGCAACATTCTATTTTGAGGCAAACAAAGCTGAAGCCCTTGATAAAAGGTTAAACAACGAAACAGAGGAGTATCTAAAGCTCAGGGCACAGTCTAAATTGGATAAGGAGACCTGTGCAAATGAGTTAAAACGTGAGAGAGAGCTCTCACAAACTCAGCTGTCATTACAAGCTCACTCATATGAGGAGAAGATGAGGGAGGGACAGATTAAGTGCCAAACACTGTGTTCAGACAACGATGCACTACAACAACAGTTGCAGCTCACATCAAAAGATCTGGACGAGTGCAGATTGGAAAAGGCAGCGTTAGTCCAACA